ATTTTCATCACAGTAGTTTGACTTATGCAATTACATAAAAAACATCTAATGAAATCTCAGTGACACAAAACATGAACGTTTATATTGGCCTCCCCGTGCCGCGGAGTTGATCTTGGCCGGGGCATCCAGACAGACATTCTGCATTCTTCAGAGATTAAGCACTGAAATGCTCCGGAGAAACCCAGCTGCCTTCTCCCCCTGCAACCGCGGCGCTAATTCCAAACACATGGTAGCTGTCCGGGGAAAGGGGAACACATACATTACACACACACAAATATCGCTGTGTCTGCGCCGGGCGCACGCGGCCGCGTCCCCATCACCATCCATCCCCATCTGTAACGCAGCGAGAGCGATGCCAACAGCTCAGCAAGTGAAATGTGAAGGAGAAAAGGTGCTTTGGGAACGTGGAGTGATGGGAAAGGGTGGCACAGCGCTGGGGTCTGGGCTTGAGCTGTGCCCATGGCACCTCTCTGTCCCCCCCTGGGTTTTCTGCCCCTGGCCCCATTCAAAATAAACACGGCTGCGAGGCTCTGGGCAATGAAACTCACTCCTGGTTGGGTTCCCACCTCCCCCCTTTAAAAAATTCTTCTGTCTCCCGTTAAAAGTCAAGCTGATCTTTAACCAAAAGGAAAAAGGAAAGAAAGAGGAGCGGAGGGATTTTTTTTTTCCAAGCAGCAAAGCCCACAGCTCGCGTGCCGGAGGCGGGGAGGGGCCGGGTAGGACCCGTGTGTGGGGCAGTGCAGAGCTGTCAACCCCACATCCTGGTGCCATGGGGCTGCAGCATCATCCCTGCTCCCACTGCAGCAGTTCCCTGAGTTCATACCCAGGGCTCCTGCAAATGCCCTCTGAGCACCATGCAGCTCTCTGTGCCCACCTCAGCTTGGAAAATGCAGCAAAACACCCATGGAAAGGCATGCTGTCCAGCGAGGCTGTCCTGTATCCCAAACACATCAGATCTGCTGTTCTGATGGATGACGTGGAGGTGATTAAGGTGCCAGCAAACCCAGCTCAAGGCTGATTTCACTGTGGGCATTGCAGGGTGAAGGAGAGTGAATGTTGCCCAAAGCTGGCTGAGATTTGGGGTTGGCGTGGGGAGGGTGACCAGCACCAGGTGACAGGGCCAGGTGCAGCCACTGTGTTCCCGCACCACATCATCAGCCGCAGCCCTTGGAAAAGCACCAAACTGTTGTTTGCATGGATAGGGTGTGCAAAGCGCAAAGCCCACCGGGGTCCCACCAGCACCACAGGATCCCCTTGGGCACATGTGGGAGCATCACCACCACCCCACATCTCTCGGTTCCCCTGTTCTAACAGCAGAACCTTTTGGACAACCGACAGACCATCAGCAAAACAAGATGTCAGGGCTGCAACCACTGCTGGCCGGGGCTCAGCTGGGTGTTGGGAGGGATCCAGGAGTACGGGGGGGCACTGAGAAGCCCATAGGCCCCAGACCTCCCCTTACAGCTGGGTGCTGGGGGCTCCAGACCCACCAAGGCACTGGAGATGGGGGAACGAGGAGAGGGGGAGAGAAAGAGAAGGAAGGAGGAAAATAGCCCCTTATTCTACTTTCATCAAGGAAGCATCCAGCCGTCCAAAAAATTTAATGTTGTATTTTAGCAAGAAAAACAGCTGTTGTGGTACTTGAAGGCCCAGCATATTTTGGCCAGGGCTGCATGTTGTGGATATTGGCTGAGTCAAGGTTAGCTGTTAAAAGGCAGAAATTCTAGACCCATACAAAGAAACATAGCGTTCCTTCGTATCCAGATAATATTTACTCCCAGGGCTGCTTTGTTTTGCTTTGTTCTCCCCCCTGGAGGGGGGCCAGGCACTCAGCCTTGCTGCAGGACTCATAACAGAGTGTGGAGGGGGGGGGAGAAAAGCATTAGGAGAAGATGGGGAGCCCCATCTTGGCACCCTCATTTTGGGCTCTGCCCACTGATTTTTGGCATTGCCTGGCTTAAAGAGGTCATAGCAGGGATTTGCAAGACAGTGAAAACACCCCAGCACTGTGAGTGTTCAGGGGTTCAAATGATTCCCTATAGTGCAGCACAGAGAATGAGGACCATGAGATGATGATGGCTTTGTGCTCAGTGTCCCCAGGCTGTGTGCTGTGTGTCCTCAAAGCTCTGAGCACTCACTGCCCTGAGTTGGGGAGAAGCATTTCTATTGCATGGAGATGAATCCTCCCCCCCCCTTCCCCCCCCCCAAAAAAAACAAAAAAAAAGCAACTAACCAAAAATGGACATTGTGAAATTGAAAAATCCAACATGGCTTTCAGCTGCCAAAAAGAATTTTGATGGGGAGCCCAGCTCCTCCGAAGCATGGTTGGTTGCCTTCTTGTTTTCAGCCCACTTCCCTTCACCCAAAGAAACATAACTCAAAGGAAAGCATCAATATAATGCTTTCATCAGCCACCGCGGCGGGGTTGGCTCGTCCTCCAGCAGACAGCTCCGTGGCAGGGCTGGCTCTGCCGACAGCCCCATTTCCCAGCACCGTGTGACATCCCAAGCACTGGGGACATGAGGACAGCACAGGATACCGGCGACCTCAACCCCAGCTCGATGCCACACAGGCTGTGAGTGACTCATAAAGCTCAGGAATAAAGCAAAGCCATTGCCCTGAGACAATCCCCCCGGTGCCTGCCAGGCTCTGCAGGAGCCATCCGCGCCGTCTCTCTGTGTTGGCACCGATGTCCCCCCACTGCAGGACCACCGCTGGGCACCCCAGGGTGTCCCTCCTGCCTCCACCCTGGCGCCTGCCCAAAGGCAGAAGCCACCAAACCCAGCCCCACAGACTTGGCCGACCTCAGGCGCTTGGATGGGGGAAGGCTGTGGGTGAAAAGGGGAAAAAAATGGGGAAAAAAAGAAGAAGAAGAAAAAAAAAAAAGAGTCCAAGGTGGAACCGCAATGTTTATAAAATGGGTCACTGAATTATACATAAAAATATTTTCCTTGTGGATGCAATTACTTCCTGGACTTGTTATTCCACAGATGCTTAAGTTCGCCTCAAGCAACTCCAATAAATGCTTTACAGTCTGCTAGATCAACAGTAGCAACACTGGAGTGAATTGAATAGCACTGTTTCAAATTTGTCAGAAAACCACACAGTGTTTTCATGAGCACGTTTTAGAAACCCAAACAAAACGATTCCCAACCATCGTGCTCCCTCTCCTCACACTTTTAATGAGTTTCACATGAGCTCTGTGCAGCAGGCAGGGTGCTGGGGGCTCCCCGAAAAGCACAGCAGCACCTCCCCATCATTTCCCATACAAGCCCCGCTCCTTCTCGCTCCCACATTCTCCAGTCTCATCCCGCAGGACCCGGTATGCATTTGGGATGTGTAGGGCTTAGGATGCTTTCCCAGGGGAAATGAGTTTTGGGAGCCCCCTGTGCATCACCTCCGCCTGCCTTAGAGGTGAAGGTGCTTTGATGCATGCAGCACATCCTGATCCCCAAAATCTCTGCACGACCATCACGAGCAAACCAAAATATTTTGTGTGCTTCCCATGACCTCGAATGATAAAGCACGGGGCAGCGGGGGACACACCATGATGGCAGGGCAGGGTGCACTTACACCAATAATACAGGTGAAATCTGCCTAGGAATGCTGAAGATTCACCCCAGGATCTGCAGGCAGCTGTAGCACAATCATCCTGTTCATAGATGGCCAGAGGAGCAGAAATGCATCTTCATATCTCCAGATTCCATCTGTGAGATTTTACGAGAGGACAAATGGGTTCGTGGAATCATTGAACATCCCAAGCTGGATGGGACCCGTAAAGATCATTGGGGTTAGAAGGTTCCTGTGAAACGGGCTCACAGAAAGCTCCCTATCCCCTGCTCTGAGGATGCAGCCATTTTCTGCTCCCCCTGACGTGAGGATCCTAGCTCATCGTTTTAAGACAAGACATAGAAGGGAGGGAGGTTCAGTTTGGATAGCAGGAGAAATTCCTGATGAGAAAGAACACTGTTGCACTGCACAGCTGTCCAGGGAGTGCTGGGGTCACCGTCCCAGAGGAGTTCCAGAACCACAGAGATGTGGCACTCAGGGATGAGTCAGTCAGTGGGCACGGTGGGGTGGGCTGGGAATCTGAGAGGCCTTTTCCAGTCTTAATGATTTCATGATCTTTCCTTTCTACTTCCCCACACACCACAGAGCCCGTCTCCAGCCACCACTAAAAACACCCAAAGCCCCAAATCCGGAAGAATCCAGGGAAAAAAAAAAAAAAAAAAAAGAAAGAAAGAAAAGAAATAAGAAATCCTCATGGCCGTGGTGGCAAGTCCTTTACAAGCCCTCCCAGCCGGCCGCAGGTGGGAAGCACCGTGCCTGGCTTTCCCCAGCCCTGGGATGGGGACACATGCTGCCCACCCCACAGCTTAACCCCAGGGCCCCAGGGGGGTGCACTGGCATTTTTATTTGGGATTAGGTCCCAGCACATCTTAATTTTCAATTCAACAGCTGTTGAAAAGAAACATAAAATAAAACAAGCGCCAGCGCCGGGTCCTGCCCACGGCCCCGAATTAGCCACAGAAAAACGTTAACATTCCTGCACTGGCCCTCAGCCAGGAGACGGAGCACTTCAGGAGACGGCGGCGGGCACAGCGCCGTGCTGCTCACAGCCCCCAGTAGGTGGAGGTGGTTTGGGATGTGGGACAGCTGGGGACAGCCCTGGACACGGCCCCCATTGCTTTTAGTTTAGTGCCATAGAGCACTTTAATTCCCGAGGAGAAGCAGGGTGGGAGATAGCATGCGGGATGACAGGTAACGCATCCCATGTGATGCTGCTGAGGGATATCACCCCGGCTGAGTGCTGGCCCCAAGCTGGTGGCGTCCAGAGCGCAGGGATGCAGCAATCCATCTGGAAATGCCATCGCACCCAAGTTGGGGTGAACATGCAGAAGGCCAAGCGCAGCTCCTGCGCTCCTCGGAGCATCCCCAGCACCTCATGCCACCCCCAGCCCCACTGCAGGTCCCAGCAGCACCAGCCCCATCCCGCAGCCCACACGGTTCCACGCTGCTGGCATGCGCCCTGGCATCTCCCCATCCCGCCATCCGCTGGAGGTGCAGCGCCGGCGGGGGCTGCAATCTGGTCCTCATTAGGAGCAGCAGACAGCCCAGAGCGGGAGTCTGAGCGCTAATCTCCTTTCCAGTTGGTATCCGTCAGCAGATGTACAACAAGTGGTTGGATACTTTAGAGGGCATTTGTGTGACATAGGCTTTAGCTTTTTTCCATCCGCGGGGATAAATGGCCAGGGCTGAGGCATTGCCGGGCGCACGCGGAGCTGTGCTGGTTCGTTTTACCCAACGTCTTTCTTGGAAGAAGCGGTGATGAAGTTAACAGCCCATGAGCCATAATTGGCTCACATTAAATCGAGGAAATGATCTGTTTTGTTTTGCCCTTTAAAAAAAAAAAAAAAAAAAAAAATGCACACGGCCAAGGAAAAGAGCAGGCAGCAGCTCTCAGGAATTTAGGGGGAGATTTGTGTCCTAAAGAATAACGAAACACAGCCTGGGCCATCAGAGAGAGCAGCTTCAATCCAAAATGCTCAGCCCAAGATGCCCACGGGCAAGGGAAGGGTCTCCAAAAACCCCGAATGGTGGCCCCACAATGGGCACCACTTCAGAATCCATCAGAGCAGCTCAGTAAATTAAACTGGATACCTAAAAGCTTTATGTATAAATACGTACACATATACATTATGTATACATACCTTCAAAAAAATTCTTTATGCAGGTTATGCTTTCCTTAATCTCATTGCCTCTCAGCCAACACAGGGTATCAGGAAGCTTGGCGGTTCCCTAGCACAGCTCTGGATATACAGAGTATTGCTGACAGCAAGTTTTCTCTTCTTGTTGTTTTTCATTTTCAGCCCCCAAGGACACGAGCCAAACACAGGCAGATCGTCCTCCCAAGGCTACAGCTGGACAAAGCCACCAGGTGTTGGGAGGGAAGACATCCAGTCCCAAAAACCTGCCATGCAGACACTCCTGCAGTCCTGTTATCTGCTATCTCACTTCCACCTGTTCCAGGAGTTGTGCTGGATTAACCCAAAGAAAAACCCATCAAGCAGGGAAAAAAAACCACCCCAAAGAATCACAGAGACACGAAGGTTGGAAAAGTCCTCTCAGATCCCCAAGCCCACCCCACCAATCCCACTGCTACCTCCCTCAGTGCCACAGCTCTGTGGTCCCTGGGCAGCCTGTGCCCCTATCCTGCTCTCAGTCAGGATGTGGATAAAAGGCAGCACCCATGCTGAGGATCACCCACATCTGCCAGCTCAGCCCTGCTTCCACGTCAGCCAGGTTGGAAGTGAGGCACCAAAACCCCCTTAAATAGGAGTGGGAGCAGCAAAGCCTTTCCTTGGTGCAGCAACCAGCAAAACCCCCATACCCAACACTGTGAGCTTGGCTGTGCTGGTGATGGGTTAACAGTTGGACGTGGTGATCTTAGAGGTCTTTTCCAACCTTAACGATGCTACGATTTTCCAACACATTCATAGTGAGCATGTAATATTTTTCAAAACTACTTATCCTGGGTTTTTTTTCCAACACATTAAACAAATGCAGTGTTTAACTCCCGAGCCCACAGCACTCCATCATCCAGCTGTGTCAGAGCAGAACAGATCCTGCCCAGCATCCATTCCTCAGTCTATTAGGCAGAGTTATTCTCTTGCTCTGTGTTTTGATACTTACAAAGCCATTACCATCTCTTGCATGCACATCCATCATCAGGGCTTCAAACTCCAGAATGTCCCAAAAAATTATTTTCCACTCACCAAGCAGCCTGCCAGGCTCTGTTCTTCTACTCTCCGTTGCTTCATCCATCGAAAGACATTTCAGCAAGTTCTAAGTCCAACCAAATAAACAGATGGCAGCCTGAGAAGGTGCTGATATTTTTTCTGAAGGGGGGGGGAAGAGGGGGCAGTGTGGTGAAGGATGGAGTAGAGAAGAGCAGACTTCTATCTGTCTGCTTGGAAGAGCCCTGCTGGGGCTGCAGACACCAATGCCCATTTGGAGCAAGATGCACAGGACCCCATGTTGCAAAGCCCTCAAACTTGTGCCTGGAGGGCTCTCCATGGAGCACAGTACTGACCCCAAAAATCCCCACCTCCCGACCTCTTTCCAGGTCCCCCAGTGCAGCTCCTGGAGCCCACAAATGCCATTTACTCACATTTTGCACAGATCCCATTCGCTACCATAACTCCACATCGCACCAATGCTCCCCCAAACACCCACCCAGCAATCACCAGCCCAGACTTACAGGGAAGATTTATGAAGGGATGCAGCTGGTTGAGTGATGGAGACGGATCTCCTCGAGGAGCGACTGATTTCTCCCTTACAAAAGGGATAGAAATTAATTTATGAACTTGGTTAGTCAAGTTGCCAAGTGGCTTTGATGCAGTTTATTTTTTTGCACATGGCCGTGATCGATTGCACAGCTGTCAGAGGGGGGAGGAAGAAACCCATTGAGTCGGAGCAATGCATCGCCACGGCCGAGCAGCCAGCAGCTCTCAGCAGCACCAAATCACCCTTCACACAACCCTGGCACTGCTGGCACAACACGGCCACATCTCCATGCCAACCTTGAGGGCTTGGAGAACCACCCCCCCCTCTCCATGCCATGGCCAAACACACAGCACGTCAGAGTTGAGAAGCACCTTCTTTTGCTTGTTGTGCTTTGGTAGGACCTACAGAAATGCAGGGATAGTCACAGAGAGACGCAATGCTGCATGCATTGCCCACCAAACATGAGCTCAGAACCCCTAACACATCACCAAGGGACCCCCACCTCCAAGGACACTGAGGGACAGGCCCTGCCCAGCAGCTCAGCCCCGGCTCACCAAGCCCAGGCCAGCAGACAGCAGCTCCCCCATGCTCACAGCGTTACAGGTGCTTGGAGGGTTTTCAAGACACGAAGTAATTTCCTGCTTGAAGCAGTTGACAAATCTGCACAGCAACTGGATAGCACTTCGCCTTTCAGAGATCCGACTGCTTCAGGGCTCCTCTCCAACGTGCTTTTTTTTGCCCCAGATAGAAGGGAGGAGGTTGGGTTGAGCATTCCTCTCTTTCTTCTGTCCAAGTTCAGGCTTAGGACAGACACCACATCCTAAACGAGCTCTGCAGTAACCACAAGCAGCAGCCACCTGGCCGGGAGGTGCCTCGCACCCCAAAGCCTGGGGGGGTCCCAGCCCCATCCCACCATTGCCAGCCTCATTACACTGCATAGCTCTGAGAGCTCCAAACAGCAGAAAACACAAACAGGGCCGTGTGGGGGGAATTAAATTGGCACATAAAGGCAGCACTTGCAGATTTGCTACAGTCTGCATGGTGCAACCAGCAGCAGCACTTCTTAACCCCCACAGTCCTGTGAAGGACCACAGCCTTGCACAGAGCAGCTGACAGCATCCCACGCTCACTGAAAACCATTGTGGCAGCCCTGTGAGGACCAACACAGCCCTGGAAATTTTGGAATGAGCTGTCCTACTGTCTCAGCATCCCCTCCCCCCCATATGACCTTTCTTGCTGCAGGGAATTCACAGTCTCGAGTGGCTGAGTCAGCTGTGAACCCCCAGCATCAATCAGGCACTAAATGCAAAGCTTGGTTGTTGGAGAATGGGAAGCAGACAGCAGGAAGGGAAAATGCTCTGAGCCGAGGCAGCAAGCTCCCAAACCACCCTCAGAGCTCCCATGTGGAATTAAGGTGTAGAAACCACTGCAGAAAGCCAATACTCACCTCTCTCTCTTATGGAGTGAACCTGTATCATGCAGCCCTCAGGAACCACAGGTACTCCAGCACTGTGCTGCTGCAGGTCTCAGGGCAGGGGGGCACTACCAGCCCACATCAGTTGCTCCCAATATGCCAGAGCTGCCCTCCCTGCTCCATCTCTATCAGCATTCATCATTGCCCTCAGCTGCTCCCTCAAATCCCCTGGTTTCACCTCCATCTGTTTTTGGTCCTTCCTCTGTTTTATATTGTAAAACCTTCCAAGGGCAGCTCAAGAAGCAACCCTCCGCTGTTGCTGGTTCCTCAAGGGGAGTGCCATGACCTCAGCAAAGGGACTTTCGGGTGAACAGTTCCTGCAGGGATCAGCCCATAAATGTTCAATTTTGGTGGTTTTTTCCTGCCCAGGAGGAAGTGCCAGATGCGTGGTGAAGGCGTGCAGAGCACCATCATCTCCCTCCACCTCTCTACCCCAGCCAAGTTCCCACTCCAGAACTTATCAGGGTATGAGCTCACAAGACAGATTTCCCTGATTAAGCAACACTGGGTGGCCTCTCCCCTTTCGCTTTCAATTGCTTCTTCCTCTCAGGCCCCTGAAACCTCCTCGAGCATCCGGCCCTGAGCACAGCAGTGCCTTCACCACGACAGGCACCAGCTGCACAGCCACCACCATGGAGCCGAGCGTGCGGGAGCCGCTGGTGAGGAGGTCGAGCTCCTCATACCACACCTTCCCTGAGAGCATCAGAAAGGGGCTGGACAAAGAGTACCTGCAGTGAGTGCCAGGCTGTGGCTGTGGGGCTGGATGTGGGGTGGCCATGAACCTGGATCTGGGGTTTGGGAGCTCTGAGTTGGCTGTGGCCCCATGGCTGTGGTGAGAGGGAACTCATCCTGTGCGAGGCTCACGGTGCTGGGATCTGTCTGGGAGAGCCGTGGGTAGGTGGGCTGTGGGGCACAGGGTGCTGCTGTGGGGTGGTGGCAGGGAGCTCTCTGGGATTGCAGTGCTGCCCGCTTCCAGCTTCTGCTTTTCTGTTTGTTGAACTGGCTGAGAACCAGCTGGCTCAACTGAAATGCATCCATGGGGGAAAGCTGCAACAGAGTGAGATGGATCTTCCATCGAGTGCCATAGAGATGTCCAACACATCCTTCTTGCTCTGCCCACCTCCAGGAGCCTCAACAACAAGCGGCTCTACATGGCAGTGTTTTCTGCCGTGCTGGGGAATTTCAGCTTTGGCTTTGCCCTGGTTTACCCCTCACCGGTGATCCCTGTCCTGGAGGCTCACCCCGACCCCACGCTGAGGCTGGACCGCTACAGAGCATCCTGGTTTGGGGTGAGGTGCAGGACCGTCTCCACTGGGGGGATACAGAGAGAGCCAGGCTCCATGAAAGCCCCTCTGTGTCTCCCTGCAGTCGGTGTTCATGCTGGGGGCGGCGGCGGGGGGGCTCAGCGCCATGCTCCTCAATGACCACCTGGGCCGCAAGCTCAGCATCATGTTCTCAGCTGTGCCCTCTGCCGTGGGATATGCACTGATGGCCGGTGCTCAGGGCATCGAGATGCTGCTGCTGGGCCGCGTGCTTACAGGCTACGCCGGTGGTGTGACGGCTGCCTCCATCCCGGTATGTGTCCTAAGAGTTTGTGTGATGGGAGGCAAGGTGGAGCTGAGCTGAATGAGGTGGGGCCTTAATTCTGCTTTGGAGGCATCAGCAGAGCTTCAGGGCTGTGTCTGTGCCGTAGGGGATGGATGTGCTAGAGGGGCTGGGGGGATGGCCCAGGGTAATGGCCTCAAAGCACATCTGCCCCCATTCGGCTGGGTGGGCTTTTCTGGACCACAAAAAGTGGAAGGCAGGCAGCTCCTTGTTCCTTGCTCTGTTCCTCCACAGAGTTGTTCCCTCCCTTATTTACCAGACTTTGACCTCATGTCACATATAGAGAGGAAGGCAAAGATTGAGCAACCTCCGGCTGTGTCTTTCCAGTCATTGGAGTCTGAGCACTCCTCCCACACTGGGGCAGGGATGAGTGCTGCAGGGGCTTCCCTGTCCCACTGCCAGAAACAGCCCCTCCACATTCCCCTCTCTAAGGATGTGTGTTCCAGCAGTTTGGGATTCCCCAGCTGAGCTGTGTGACTGTGAAGACACATGCAGGGACATTCTGTTCGTTCTGGCTGTGTGCTGTAGATCAGCTAAGTGTGTGCTGTCCTGCTTCAGGTCTACATCTCTGAGATCTCCCACCCTGGGGTGCGAGGCATGCTGGGCACGTGTCCTCAGATCATGGCAGTGCTGGGCTCCCTCATCCTCTATGCGCTGGGCAAGTATCTGGCTGTGCAGTGGGAAGGCAGGATTGTTTCCTCACTTGCACAGGGAAGTGGTGGAGTCACCATCGCTGGAGGCATTGAAGAATCATGGAGATGAGGCAATTGGGAACAAGTTTAGTGGCTGTGGTGGAGGTTGGGGCTGGACTTGATGATCTGAGAGGTTTTTTGCAACCTCAGTGATTCTATGATTCTCCTTCCAACCAACCTGGCTCCCGCAGGGCTGCTCCTGGACTGGCGCTGGCTGGCCGTGGCAGGGGAAGTGCCTGTGCTCACCATGATCCTCCTGCTCTGCTTCATGCCCAACTCACCCCGCTTCCTGCTCTCCCAGGGGAAGGAGGATGAGGCCCTGCGCTCACTGTGCTGGTTGAGGGGCAGGGACACAGACTATGCCCAGGAGTACGAGCAGATTAAGGACAGCGTGAGGAAGCAGGTGAGGACCAGCCTCACCTCCAGCATGAGATAGGAAAATGG